CATCTGCATTAACAGTCTTAAGTGATCGAAGGATGAAAGGTTTAGATTTTTCTTTCCTAATATCGAATTCACAAATAATTAACGAGTGGCCGCGCAAGTTGCCTGTTGGCTCACCTGAGATCGATTTGGCTCCAACGTCAGCATACACAAGATCGATTAAGGACTCGCTATTTTCCGTAAAGTGAGTAGGTGACGTGATTACCTGATTCAGGCTGAGACAGGTGAGACTTTCGGTTAATTTCTTTGTTTTCACATCCGCAGAGTTTAACAAGTTTACAAATATATATCGTCATATCATAATATATTATATGCCAGTTCACACTTGACAATACTTTATTCACCACACAGTTAACACACAATGTTAATCAGAATACACTCACTAAACAATGTACTTCACTATGCAAGTCTTTGAACAATCATATCATGCGCTGCGGACCGGTACGCTATCAAAAAGAGCTGAACGTAACGATCCCAGTCCCGTTGATGTTCTTCTACGACCTTCGCCAAATGATTTTCTAGAGTCTGGTTTAATTTCTCTACCATGCCGTCGAATTGTGGGTGTGCCGGAGTCGTACGTGTCTTATTTATATCGATTCTCATCTCCTAAAATAAGTTTGATCAAAATACCTTTTTTGATCGCTGTGTAATTCCAACGGAATGCCGAATCGGCACAGTATTTCTTCGACGAGCTTCTTGGCTACGGCCTGAGCCCCCTGGTTTGGTGTAGCAAACACTTCGGAACATTTGGTGAAATAAACTTGAACCATCACAATGTAACGGTTTCCATCTTCTGTTTATCGAAAAGGTCCAGCGACGTCAATGGCAATTTTTTCCCAAGGAGAGCCGACCTGGTAAAGCTGCATATTCCCCTTCAGTCTAGTGCGAGGTCCTTTTACCGAGGCGCATACATTACATTTCCTACACCAACGACGTCTTCTCGACAGCGCATCCAGTAGAAGCGTTGCCTCACTTTCACCAAAGTCTTCCTTATTCCCAGGTGTCCACCAGACGTACCATCGAGCATATGTCTTAAAACCTGGAACACTTTGCACCTTGGGACCACCGTTTGTAGAGTCTGTTCCTTACCATTGGGTGACTCCCATTTACGAAACAGCACGTCTTCTTGTATCAGAAGACTGTCCCATTGGGCCCAGTATGCCTTCGTGATTGGGCTTGAAGCTATATGTCACTCCATGATGGTTTGCGTCCTTCACTTTCCCTTTCATTATTAGCTGCAGGTCCTTGTCTTCGTTCTGCGCCCGAGATATTTCTGCTTTACTCGAGGATTCATCCAATTCTTGAGCTCTTATTGACTTTGACTTTTGACCTTATAACCTTAACTTCGTCTTTTTAATCGCATTTTTAACAGTGCTTACAATCCTCGGCATATGGCCGCCTTGATAATGCATCAGCATTGGCGTGCGTCTTTCTGCTTCGGTGTTTTATTACGAAGTTGAATTCTTGCAGCTGTTTGATATATCGCGTCACTTGATCCCGCCCAGGGCGTCGAATATAGCGGGGCGCCCTTCTCTCTTAAAAACTGACTGTCTTTGTAGTATACTACAATTTAACTGAATATTCAGTCATTTTATATGTATTTAATAATTCATAAGCTGCGAGAGTTCAAAAAAATAACTTATCTGTAAATCGCGATACTTGAAAATAATTAATGTTATTATTCATCGTAAACAAATATATTAAAAATAATTCACGTACTTGGGCGTTTGTTAACGAGTGGTTGCAAAATTGTGCATAGACCTGGGTGGAAATCGTCTCGTTACCAAGCGCCATTCCTTACACTTAGCTCATTCTTTATTCATTACATCACATGCATTTACGACAATTGTTATAAAACAACTGATATTCATCACTCTTCATTCCAACTACCAAATGACATTAGTTTTCTTCTTCTTCCTCGTTTCATCATGACTGAGGATTGTGACAGCATGTGGCTATTCCATGTGTTACTAGCACCATGTTCTCCATGTTTTTCAGTTTTCAGCCATCCAGATTAGACGTCTCACGTCTGCATGTCTGTTAGGTAGGTCTCCTTTACAGCATTTGTCTATCGCGTCGATGATGGTCCACGCCTCCTTCCTTCCATATGGCCCGTCTACGGGATACATTATATTCTTCGCTATCACCACATCTCAAATGTCTATTATTTTGTTTCTAACGCGTGCTTTTAGTATCTCTAAAGCATAAATAACGAAAAGACAAGGGTCTAATTTTGTCTTTTTGGTTAGTCCTCTGTTCTTCCATATTCATCTTTAAGAGTTTCATAACTGATTTCCCAATCTAAGCTCAGCTTACTACTTCTCCCACAGTCTCCATCTATGGTTACCATTGAACCGAGGTAATTAAACTCCTGTGGGGTTTCCAAGTCAGAACTCCCATGTTCTTTGTAAGACACTCATTTTCACATTCTCGTTTTGTTTTTTTATCGACATTAACTCTGTCAATAAACATCACCTTCGTTTTGCACGGTTTATTTTCAGACCATATTCCGCACTTGCACACTTTAATACACTTTGCAAAAGTTTGTCAAGTTCATTTTCCTTAGCTGCAATAATGTTGTGAGACTTTCAGTAGCTATGCAGACAGTCTGTCTCCAACGCAAGCTTTTCGTTTCAGACCAGTAAGTGGTGTATCGCCTCGCTGAGAAAGATATCTGGTCCTTAACAATGTCGTGAGCTTCTTTCTATATCTTTCTATTACTAGATCTTTACCAACTAGTGGTTTCACTCTCTCGACCTAACCAACTTCCTGGGCTTTGCAAACATATCTTTATTATGTCAACGATTTCGGACCGTTCTATCTCCAAACGTTGATTGAAACAGTTTTATCTCACCTGAGTCTTTGCACTGAGTTATGGAGTTTGCAGTATTGTTTTCGGTCAAACACTGAGCCTAACTCGCTTTATTTAAAGCGTCTTCTTTCCGTTATGCCAGACAATATTTTCATCGCTTATTAATTCAGATTTAATTTGTAGGGCCTTTGTGAGTACCCTGTGCTCTTTTGCTGTCTTATTGGCCACAGACTTAAGTTTTTCTTATGAAGCATTTTGATTGAAACAGTTGATTCAGAAGGGTATTTTTCAAGGTAACTCAGATGTGGGTCTTCTATGATGATCTACGTTTCCGTAATCTAATTCACAATCTGCGCCAGGGAGGGTTTTGGCGGAGAAAATATCAGTTTTATCAAAAAGTTGAAATAAATAAAGTAGATTAAAAATTGCTACTTTTTTTTAGGGAGATTTCGTTTAATTAGGTAAGTAGGTAGAAAAATTAGGTAAATAAAAAGGTACCTACCGTTTTTTTTGTCCTTTCAAAAACCAATCTGCGAACGACATCTCAATCTATATTGACATACTTGGCAACTTTGTCATTAAAAATGAAATTGTAGAAATATCTATATAATTGATTGAATAATTGATTAAAAGATTTTATTGTTTGTTTGTATTGTGTAGGCACCGAAACTACAAACTAGGACCGATTTGAAAAAATCTTACACATTTAGAATCCTACATTATCCATGATGAACATGGCTATAGAGTATTTCAAAAAAAGTTAGGGTTCCGTATGAAAAATTCGATAATAAAAAAAGATTTTTCAAATCTAACCATTATTTTCTAATTTTTCCGCGTTCAACCAAAAAAATAGTGAAATCGGGACAGCCAGCGGGTCCTGAACTATGCAACAAATCATGGAAGGTTTACAATTACATAAAGAAATGCATTGAGTATAATACAAGCCTGAGAACAAAACTAAAGTCTACAGGACAGTTCTACACCGAAGCGAAGCGAGGGCGGGCTACTAGTCGACTGTAATTTAATAAAAGATTTCGTCTAAAGAAAGGCTACAAAAGTAAAATTTTATTTGTATTTTCATTATATTTTTTTCGTAAGGGTTTAAATTACAGTTACGGGGGCGCTGCAGAAAACTCGCCCAGGGCACTGGTAGTACTAAAACCGGCCCTGAACAAACCAAGGCTATCACTGCAACTGAGCCTAAGAACTCGCGGCGCTACTTTTTCCCGCGCCCGCCGTTGCTTCGGGACCGCAACTTGCGTAGAATTTGAAATTGTTAGGTAAAACGCAAAAGCAAAACTCACGGCGCGATTTGCGCCTACAGAGCGCGCAGGTGTTTGCGCTACCCGCTGCGGATGCGCGCGGGACGCCATCATCCGCAGACGCGGCGGGTTTTGCCCGATCTCGCCTGCAGAAATCTGCGGTCTCGTGAGTTTTGAAATAAAAATCTCAGGAAAAACCGCTCCGTGAGTTCTTAGCCTGAGCCACACCTAAAGTGGCGGATGCTTTAGTCTTTTGACGCTTGTGATTCCAAAGCATCTGCACGTTGTTTACGCTAACTCTGTCCGTACCCAGTAGAGCAATGGAACCTTACTTCCAAAAGAAAAAATAGTGGTTTTCCTCTGCAGGTTACTTCCCTAGACGGCCGCTCCAATTCGAGCAGAAAACATTATGCCCTACATGTCGTTTAATTATTATGGTGCCTATCCCTCAATCTCGTAATGTATTGCTGTAATGAATTGTGAAATATACTGATTGTTTTAACATCATCATCTCCTAAATGTTCCAACTGTTGGAGTACAGGCCTTCCCTATGTGCGGAATATAGAAAAGGTCATTGACCCACCAAGTGGGCCAAATGCAAATTGGTCGGTGCGCTGACTGCAAATACAGCTGGTAGCAAAGCATAATACCGCTTCCGAATCACGGACGAGCTTGAGATAGTATATTTTTGTTCCCGTATCCTACGACTAGCCATTGCTAAACCATCAAAGTCCTTAAAAAATATGTTGATGTAAAAATAAATTCAAATTTTATTAATAAGTAGTGATACTGAATTACGTAAAGATCCACTGGATGAGGAAAGCTCACGACCGTTGTCCCTAGAGGATACCTAAGTATCGATACCAGTGGACGTCCATCAGCTGATGATGATGACAATGTGCCATCAGTTTGTATTTTCAATTCATTTTATGACAGGGCTATATGGAACTTCAAGAGATAAAGTACAGCTGGCAGCAAAAAGGTCACGTTATGGCAAATTGGAAGCCCACTATTGAACCTCGACCCACTGACTTCATCAGCAAATTCTTAAATGGAAAAGATTGATTCTGCTGCTAAGCGATTTAATTGTTACAACATTTTATGATGGCCCTTATTTAATACTACCGCCTGATACTTATCGCCTTATTACAATACGTAGACTAAATTTACACCTGGATTATTTTAACACTTTCTTTGTTAAAAAGAAAACAGAATCAACATTAGTACTAAACAACTTTAGTTCGCGTTTTGGAATAATGTGGAAAGTCTATTGAATGAGTTAATATTATTGTTTTTTTTTTATTTATTTCATACTTGCGACTCTAATAAATGAACAATGTATTCTCTGAACATCTTAAGATAGCTAGTAGGTAATAATTTGATTAAAGGTATGTAGGTAGGTACATATTATAAGTTTTCCTACTTCAGTGATTACCTACATTGTAAAGACCATCATAATATCTTGTATATACTGTAAATTCACAATTAAAAGTATCTTATTGCTTGTAAAAGTTCCTTTCGGTATTGGTTACTTTTCGGAAAAAATAAGTTGTTTTTTATAAAGAAATAAAGGATGTAGGTATTTATAACAAATTCTAAAACAACAATTAAAATAAATAACAAATTCATATTTTTATTGATCACTTTCATTCCAAATCACTTGCCTTTCGAAGGCTCAATGACTATTATACTAACATGATTTTTATGTATATTGCAATTGTAAATATTAGCTTAAAAGATTATGTACAATAATAACTAGGATACGTTGTAAAGTAAAAGCGAATAATTGGAGATTGAGTAAATTTTCGTTAAACCTTGAATTTACATTGTAAACAATAAAAAAAATACATTTGTCCATTTTAAAGTTTCATAATGACGTCCTCAATTATAGTTAATATTTACATATGCAAGGTACAAAAGTTTAACATCAACAATAGTTCATAAATACTTAAATACGGTACACTTTAATATTTCATCTTAAAAATATTGACAGCGCTGAAAAATCTGTGCAGAATTAACCAAAATTTCACAACCTTACTGTTTGCAATATTACATTTGAAGTACATAGTTCGTTATTTCATAAATAAAATACACGTTTTTTTTACAAATTATGTCTACAAATGTTCCAAAATTTGCAATAAAATTCGAGCACGCACTATATTAAATATTAGATATTGTCGGTTCTGTTCCGATATCCTAATAAAAAACGTAATAAAAACATAACGTATCGTGATAAAAAATTAACAAAATATTAATATTGTAAATACACAAATTTCTAAATATTAGGGTTTTTTAATTTTATTGTCGTCATTTTGATCTATGGTCATATTAATTTAGGAACTTTCAACAACATCTACTTGTATGTTTGTAAAAATGTTTTTAATATTTATAATTTTGACAATATGTATTTTAAGTAGTACATCTTTTATTTGAATATCGGGCTTGAGCTCAGTACAATGTATGGTCTCACTCAACAATATCCAGCAGGGACGGTTTTAAGGCAGGGCAGGCTGTGGCCCACAAGAGAGGGTCCTCCACAATTAAGATAAAAAAACTTTGTTAAGTCCCCAACCAGGGGGAAGGAAGGAGGGGTGCATATCGGTAAGTGGCCTAGGGTGCCAGATTAAACGGGCCGGCTCTGATATCTAGTAATCTATTATATTCACTAACAGCATTTTTTTTTATATTTCTATAAGTATGTGTGTTACAAATGTGTATGTTATCACATCGAATTTAATGATATTAACCTACATTAGTTATTAATTACAAAATTACTTCTATATACAACATACATTTAACAGTAGGCAACTGCAACTTACGCTCTGTAATTATTATTATTAATTATTGTTTTTCCATTTATTTAAAAGTACTTTTTTATTCCAATAAATAAATATATCTAAAATATAATAAATAGGTATGTTGTTAGTTCCTAAAGATGATGTCTTTCATATTAAATATACCTGATTAATATAAAAAATACACAGAAAAACTGAATGGAAGAGTTGTCTAGCGATGCGCAGCTTCTGCTATCATGCGTCTGTACAGAATGTAGCTTTTTCTTGGTAATAGAAACATCAACAATACATCTTAATTAAATATTATTAGCTGTTGATTTTAACAAAACGTCGTTGTCACACCAACATCAGCTATGTACACTTTTTGGAGATTTCGTCATTTTCATTATTATGACTAGAATACTATCCGAATTTTCGAATACAAAGACTGGTATGCGAAAGTTTGCACTATAAGGGTTAACAGACGTTGCTTAAAAATATGCTATGAATAGCCAGAATACTATCAAATATTAATAATGCTATGTCTTGAAGTTTATTATATTATTTCCACATATCAGATAGTGGTTTGACAATGACCGAAAGCTACATTATTGGTACAGATCTTATCAGTCGGGAGCACTATCCACCCGAAGAACACTTGTCTTTAAAAAATATTGTTACATCTAATGAGGTTTTGCTCACTGAGGTACAAGAAAAAAATTACGTTACAGCAGCATCTTCACGAATTCTGAAAAAGAAATAATTTATTTTAGTTTATTATTTGCCTATTTGCTACGGTTGCTACGATGTAGTGTCGTAGTTTAAGAGCGAAAGACTGATTTATAGGTAGGTTATGATTTTAATTACGAGAATTTAAAAGTAGCGTTATCATTAAATTAGGATAAAAAATAAGCAACCCCTTTGCCGTTTATCTCCAAAGAAAGGATTCTAGAATAAATAAAACAAGATAGGTACCTACAACTTTTTTACGTTTAGACCTCAGACAGAATTTTAGCTAAAGCTCGATGACACGGGGCGAGTTAACAAGCTACCAGCCAGCGAGTTCGCTAGCAGCTTACAAACTCTGTAAGCTTATAAACGCTGGCTTGTACCTTATAAACTCGCCCCGTGTCATCGAGGCTTAATGCAGCAATATGCATTCTATGGACAAAAACTACACACTGTTTGCTACATTTTTCAGCCACAAATGTTTTGTTTCCTAGAAAAACATAACTACCTTTTTAGGGTTCCATACCCGATAAGGAATAAACAGAACCCTTATGGATTTGGAGTCCGTCCGTCCATTTGATAATAAAAATTATTTAATTATTGTAAAAGACTATTAATAATGTAAAAGATTACATTATTGATAAGATAACTTTAATGAAGCTGTATTAAAAGGGCACTTAATTACCCTGAGCGCGCTCTTTGTCACAGTGGCACTTTAAATAAGCTTAGGGATTTTTTGACCCCTAAGATTGGTCTGGCAGCTTACAAAATATAATAATATCATCCTAAATAGATAAATAATCAGGTCTCAGACTTAGGCCCGTATTATAAAAAGATTCTCAGTGATTGATCTAGTCTTAAGCATAGTTAAGAGTTAGGCCCGTATTACAGAATGACAACTAAGTGTTGATCTTTACTTGAGTACAGTCAGAAAGAGATGTCGCTTTGTGCTATATATAGCGACATCCCTTTCTGACTCAAGACTAGATCAATCACTGAGAATCTTTCTATAATACGGGCCTAACTGTACTCAAGTAAAGATCAACACTTAGTTGTCATTCTGTAATACGAGCCTTAGTAAGTTTGGGTTTTTTGCTTTCGACGTGTAAAGATTCTGGCGATAAATGCTGCTGACAGAATGTGTCTGGCAGTTTTAATTTCATATTACATTTACAATATTCTCTATAACCTACGTAATACTCAGACTGTTAGTAAAGTGAGTAAAATATTTACGTGCCCGTGCCACCTGATACCTGAAATTGGCCCACAGCACAGGTTAGCGAGTATGTATACGTTCTTTGTACACACACACTAATACTACTCGATTATCCATATTTTGTCCTTGAGAAAATACGTCCATTATTATGTTGCGTACTTACAAATTTGTAGTCGGTGAACGAGAGCGACTCGCAGTTGTTCGGGGTTTTTTGGTATTTAGTTAAAATATAAACGTTTTCTAGAGCACATATGAGGAGCTAGCGAACAAAACGGTATAATTACATAAGTATAAAACTTTACAAGAGCTGTAAAAAATAAATGACATACCTAGTGAGCTTTTGGCTTTTGTTTTTATTCATAAATTTAGTAAATTTAACACTTTTTTACGCGGTTTTGATTGAAAATGAGTTGAGATAAAAATTCAGCGGGCGCAAAACCTCCGGACTGTAAAAAGAAAGTAGTTTGTCCAGAGGCATAATTATACCGTTTTGTTCGCCAGCTCCTCATATAATAAAATCTGGAGCTTGATACAAAAATTGTCATACCGATGGCTAAATTAATCGAGATATGTAATAAGTAGTCTTGGCGGGCGTAGCCATGTAGCACTATACTTTGAGGATAAAAAAATGATTTCGGTGTGCCCTCAGTACTATAAATGGTCCGCTTCTAGAAAGGCTTAAAATAGAGTGTTCCACGAAAGGCAGCAGCACTGCTGTGTCACTGGAATTGCTGATGGCCATGGACGTCGGTGACAACTTAAAATCAGGTGGCCCGTCCGCTCTTCTGGCTGAGAGGGTAATAAAAAAAATTGGTGGAATGAGCGTAGAGCATACTTTCGTTATAGATGCGGCCGTCCTGGTCGATGTCGCCGAGCGTCAGCGCCTGGTTTAGCTGCGCGTCAGTGACCGGTTCTCCGGCGCGGACCACAGCTCGTCCCGCGTTATGTAGGTACCCGTTGTCGTCGCGGTCGAACACTATGCGGGCAATATCACGAGCGTACCTTCGTAATCGATGCGGCCATCATGGTCGATGTCGCCGAGCGTCAGCGCCTGGTTGAGCTGCGCGTCGGTGACCAGCTCGCCGGCGCGGACCAGAGCTCGTCCCGCTTAATGTACCCGTTGTCGTCACGGTCGAACACTATGCGGATAATATCACGAGTGTACCTTCGTAATCGATGCGGCCATCATGGTCGATGTCGCCGAGCGCCAGCACCTGGTTGAGCTGCGCGTCGGTGACCGGCTCGCCGATCATCTCCAGCGCGGACCGCAGCTCATCGCGTGTTATGTACCCGTTGTCATCACGGTCGAATACTCTGCGGACAATATCGTTGTGGCGTCACTTATATTATAGCCCTTACTTACATCGTCCCTTCTTAACGTCTGACGCGCTCGATTATTTCCTTCGTACGACCATGCAAACCGGCAGTTTTTTTTGTTATCAGAAAGGTTACGTGAACCTTCCTCCTAGATCCTATTCAAGAGACTGACGATTTGGACGCGACCAAAAGTCAAGGCCGATTATTGATTTTTTTCTTGATGCCTAGACGATCGTTTCTTTACGATCCACGCCCCACCCTAAATTATTCTGCCGCGCTCGAGCTACCCTACTATTAGGGGGGAGTTGTGGACAGGGACGTTTTTACCCAAGGACCAGAAGGGCCATGGCCAGGAGCATAGGCTGCAAAAGGCAATGAAAGGCACCGCTGGGGCAAATAAAAAAATGCGTCGCTAATGTTAGAGGCCAAATAAAATATGCTGCAGATCGAGGAAGTTAAGCAACTTTCGCATTACCGATGCATGGTAAGCTGACTTTTATATTATTAATTTATTTCTTTATTCAACAGAAATGTGCATAAAAATTATGTATACAAATACGAAGCTGCAACCCAATTTGTCGGTAGAGTAATTATATATTTTATTTTTTAAGCATGTATCTGCTACAAGTTTAAATCGCAAGAAAATTTTACTAGAAAGAATTCGTTTTATTATTGACCATTATGCCAAGGGCGGATCCAGCTTAGGCGGGGGGGAGGGGGGGGGGTCATATAGGCAGCTTTGGCGCCAGGGTAGAGTCATATAGTCGTGGTATATTAAATATTGAAAGTACTTAAATAAAATCTCCCTGGTTTTGGTCCATCTGTACCCAGCCCAGGGGGGGGTCATGGGGGTCATGACCCCTTCACCTGGATAGCGAAGGGTGCTGGTTCGAGCGTGGAATTTTTACTACTAAAATTTTCTTTCGATGACACTTAAAACTTAATCTAAAAGTGTATTTCGAAAAGCACGCCAAGCAGTTGATCCCAGACGTATCTACGATGTCGTTAACACCCACCATTCCGCACTTATAGAGCACCGCCCGCATAGAGCTTTATTATGTTCCCGTCTCCCTATGTGATTATGTCTGTTGTGAAGGATCCCCATGCAAGGGGGATACAAATTAAAGTGGTAAATGATCCCTTGCGAGATTTGCAGATCGTCGAGGATGCGGCAGCGGAGATAGAGAGATAAAATTATGACACCTCAGTGACGCTACATTTAGGCTGAGATGTAGTCCGGAAATACAGAGATAAATTACTTGTCCATCGCCTACGACCTTCGACAGTTTCCGAAGCATTTTTTTTTAATTTTGATTAAAATTAATACATACTTGAATGCTGCCAGTAAGTCTCTAGTGATTTCTTCTTCTGTGTCCCCTCCACTGTTACTGACGTCCATCCCTTGTAACGCCTGTATTTTTGTCACCCACTGCATGAAATCATTCTCGTCTATGAGGCCGTTTCCTGAAATAAACAAAGAAAACTGCCTCATCACCAATAATTTAGTAGGGATCGTAAAGGGAGTAACACCCCCCTCCCTCCCCATATGCGTATTATTATTGGTGGATAATATCGGATGCGTTATTGCGAAATCCGTTTTTAGTACGTTATGTATTAGTACGCCTACGAAGCTACACACTGCTGCGATCATAACGACGCAATAGAACTATGACGAAATATCGCAATAACGCATCGGATATTATGGCCGATGCTATCTTTGGGCGACAGGCTTAAAGTTGTACAATCATGCCTCAGTGGTGCAATGGCAGCGTTCCTGAAGTTTCTATTCCATACGTCCATGGTTCAGAGCCTGGGACGGCATTTATTTACGTAATAAGGGCAAATATCCGTTCCTGACTCGTGGATAACCACGTGTATCACACAGTTTATTTAATTATATAAATATATAATTAAATAAACTGTGTGATACACGTTATTTAGTTTCCATAGTGTACGCCACAAGCTTTGCTTAGTTTGGGACTAAAAGTTGAGCTGGACTTTCCATTTGGATAACATTTACCTACTTCATTTACTCAGACATTATTAAAACTAATTATTAACGCCGTACAATAAAAAAATACTTCGTTACTAATAATTCTGAAAAAAAGGGAGGCTATATTCCTTACATCATAACCCTGATAAACGGCTTTTAAAGCCAGCAAAGCGTTATTACAAAGCCGCACCCAAATTATGTGCAACATAATATAACGCGACAAACAGCGAAAAGGTGGCCGTCGTTAAATCTTAATTAACTGGTGTGGAATCGTTAGCTGTGACGTCAGAGCCCTGCTTACGACCTCTGTTTTGCGTTAATTACAGTGGTAACAAAACCTACCCATAGGATTGATGAAAATTGCTAAAGAATTATTTTCATGCCAACAGGGTGACTGAAAACCGGCAGATGATTTGTATATTATTAGCTTCTGCTTCAAACTTCATCTACGCAACTTTTTTTATGTTACAGGAGTGGCAAACAAGCTTATGACCCGCCTGATGGTAAGCGGCCACCATAGACTATAGACGCTTGCGATACCAAAAATATCACTCGTACTGTTGTCTACCCTGACCCAAGCCCCTACCCCATGGAGCCCTGGAACCTTACCCACGGACAGATAAACCACCACCAAAAGGTAGTGTTATCTTCTGTAAGGGAGGTTACTTCTCCATTATAGATATTAACGGGATTGTTACCATGTACCTTGTTTTTTATGAGTCTCCGATATTTCGGCACTGTTGCAAGCGCCATGATCACGGAGTAACTGAAGTAATTGCGGGTAGATGTTATTGGCAGACATATCGGTCTACCCTCTGACGTCGTCTTTTACTGCGTTCGATACTACCACTACCATTGGTCACATTCTCACTATTCACTCGCATTTGTTCCCGGCACACAATACTCACAGTATCAGATCGCGGAACGACACTTTTTTGATTTTTGCTTTGGTTACTTCTCCAGTCGGGCGCTCTAATTCGCTATGCTTTACCTCTCTTAAAACTATAGAATTAAGTTCTGAGAAAGGAAAGATACGATTAACAAAAAATTGTACCTGTACTACCAATTACCATTGTAGAATCCATGGTATTGCCTAGATTACTATTATTAGGTACCTATTAGCAATGTAACTATTAAGTAATTTATTTTCGATTGGGTCAGTCTCATCTCTCAGTTAAAGGAAAGAACATTAAGTTATAAAGAAGAAAACATGAAAATTAAGATGAACGATAATTTTATACGGAAATTAATGATAAAAAGACGTAGGTAAGTTAACCTTTCAAGTGTGGTCAAGTGGAGTGGAAAATCAAAACATGAACTACGGGTGTGTCCCCCGTAGTTGATACTCCCACAGAAACCTAACCTTACATATTTCCGGGATGAAAATTATCCTATAAATGCTGGAAGGAATAAACCTATGTGCCTTTGCATGCGTTACTGACTATCACACCAAACCGTAACACCAGTATTGTGGTCGGGTTTTTTTTCCCGACCATAACACTAGTGCTACGGATAGGAAACCTGTCACACCAGTGTGAAGATCTGGGATGTATTATTATTTATTACGGTAGGGACACTCGAAAAGCATTCTTTTCTGATGGACTAATACGAGTGTTTTTACAAGCTTTTATTTAACTTGCACTGTTCAGTTCGTATGTAACTATGTATGTATGTATGGAAATCGAGGCTTACCCACCTTCACACTGACCTTTGATAGTGTGACGGTGTGATGGTCGGGAAAAAATTCCCCACCATAACACTGGTATTACGGTTTGGTGTGACGGTCGGGAACGCATGGTGTTAAGGTTTGGTGTGACGGTCGGGAACGCATGGTGTTATGATTTGGTGTGACGGTAGGGAACGCAACGCAAGCAAATTCCATCCAAAAAAGGTATAGCGGTATTTGAGTAACAAAGATCCAATTGACATTTAGGTACGAGTATAATATAGTAGGATTGCACTATCCATTACTTGTATTTGAAAAAAAAACATACAGATTATTATTATCACTAATCTTTCAGACAGTCTCGATATGTAATTGAACTTGAATCAATTCGTTCAGATATTCTCTAAGAACGGAATAAAAGAGTTGAAATTGTTACGTACGGCATGGTACAGGTATTTAAATTAGGTAGTACGATTATGAATAATTTAATGAAAGTAACATTATTATTTAACACGTATATTTTCCTTACAGTAATATATCTACTTACCAAGTTTTTTAATCGCAAATCTAATATAGTCGCGCAATAATATATACGAAGCAACTTAAACCTAGAAGGTCATTGAGGTGTTAGCATAATTTTGAACTAACACGCATGCCCAATGTAGATTGGTAGGCTAATGACTGCAGATACAATCCATGCCAACAGATTAAAGTGGCTTACTATCCGAAGCACGAAGTAGCAAAGGATAACAAATTTTGGTTCACCCATCCTTTGACCGGCCATTGCGAAAACTGCTTAAGTTCTATGATCAGCAGACCTAACGCAGTAACCACTGCGCCATTGAACTCCTCAGTAATTTACACGTGAATAGATGCAAATGATGCAAAGGTGGGACCCATGGGAGTTTGGAAATAAACAAAATCATAAATGCGCAATACTTAGTGTGCATGTACCGTACAGTTTTCTGTAGTACAACGAAAGCGTTTTAAACGTGAAAATTTTAAGCAATAATAATAATAATAAAAAATAAAATAAAAATACATATTACAACATAAAAATAGGTAATATGGTACAGAGTCATTTCGTCGTTTCTTGGTTGGCTTTTTTTTAATCTTTTCTCTATACTAGGCAAGAAAAGTAAAAAAATATGTACCTATTTCTGAGCTGTTAATCTGATCAGTTGGCAGCTTCGTTCATACCCATAGCGTGTCCACGCGCTAACCTAATTTTATTACGAAGCTGTTGGAGTGGCGGCTTAGGCGGGGCGGGCGATCAGATTGAACCGCGATTAGCCTATAAGTGCGATGTTAGATAACTATGTATATAAACAGTTACGTGACGCGGCTTAACCTACAGTTGCGTAATATTTTTATATTTTGAAGTGAAACTTCATTAGGCAGCACGTCGCTAGGACACTCTTGGAAGGGAGAAAAATCAGACAGAAGTACAAAAAACACTAAAGTTGATATACTTATCAATTTGTTTGGGTTACAACGATAATATTCATACTTTTTTAACTTAAACGGCACAAAATATAACTTTTGCTCAAAAAAATATTATATACTTTTGTTAGAAAGTTCAAAATTACGAACCATTAAACGGAGCGTGCGGTAAAACATTTTACTGCACACACATAGCGCCGTGCGCATTCTTTACAGTTTTTTTTTCATTTCAATCACACTAATCTAATTGGCGCTGCGGGTTAGAGTGAGAGAGGAGGAGTATCTACATAAGAAAGTTGTTAAACTAAATGAGCACAGGAGATTGGTGGTTAATAGTGGGGATTGGTAGGTGAAAAGGGATTCGAGGGTGACAAGAGGGTTTGGAGGGTAAGAAGAATTCGAAGGTGATAAGGTAATTGGTGGGTAATAATATGGGATTGGTGGATGATAGTGGGGATAGATGGGTGATAATATGGGAATGGTGGGTGATAGGTAGGATTGGTAGGTGAAAAGGGGATTTTGGTGCATAAAGAGTATTCAAGGGTGAAAGGGATTCGAGGTCGAAAGGGGGATTCAGGGTGAAAAGGGGGATTTGAGAGTGAAAGGGATTCGGGGGTGATAAAGGGATTGGTGGGTGATATAAAGGGATTTGTGGGTGATAGTGGGGAGTGATAGGATGATAATAGGGGATTATTAGATATAGGTACCTACTGTTTTCTCGCAAATGTGATGCAAAATGTTGTATGATATTCGTGCGGATTTGTATTTACAAACTCGTGACTACTCCATTGTAATAACCAACTTACCGCACTTGTATCATAAATAACTATTTTACTTCTGTTGTGCAGTCCAACGACTAACAGTCCTTTTTGCAATACAACAATGTCCATAACTATATTTCCTAGAAAATAAAAATCAAAACCATTAAAGCTAGAGAGCTTATGCTGGAATGTTATTCCCACGGAGTGTTAAGTAAAATTCTACAAACAACGAATAGGACACAGAATACTTAATAAAGGATACGATACGTGGGCAATAATATCCGCAGTGAATACAGAAAAAAAATGCTATTACGGGATAAAACTGAATTTATTGCTTCTCAAATGTTCTAATTTATATTCAATGCATGTTTTGATACAAATCAACCGAATTTAAAAACATAAATGCCCCTTCTCGGTCGGAAAATGCTTTTTTATTCTTGTTGTGATGAAAATCGATAACCGCATCAATAATTTTCGTCTCTTTATACGATTTCTTGATTCGCAACCTGTCACTATATCCCACTCCAAATTGAAGGTCGTTTATGCAGCGGTAATATTTTATGACATCCAAAGGTTTTGCAGAGATGTATCTGGCTTTGCA